TATTTGTCGTACTTCAAGTACAAATAAAAACATGCGTCAAATACTGATGCCCTCAACACAACGATGAGTGACTTATAAGTGATTATCTTATCAATACTTATAATCTTACTTTTGTGAAACATACCCACACAGCAATTCCATTAATATATCTGGAATTAAATCAAAAGAAATATCACTGAATTTTATATATTGAAAAACATGAATCTAATGATTAAAATAAGTGATCATATTGTGGGTTGACTTTACCGTGGGTCATTGATGACAATTTGGTGATTATTATGTCATATTTTATTTCAATAATGGTAGAATGTTTGGTAATAGATGTTCGGTCATTTTAATTCTGCCATGCGACAAAAATTGTTCTCATAAATTTACTTCAGTCAATCGGTACTATGTACTAGTTGATTATTTGCTGTCAATGTCAAAGTAAATACAAGGTTTATAAGGTTACCTGTAGGCCTACCAGCTTCACGCGCAGGACGTTGTCAGATAGTATCAGTGACACACGTAGTATAGTTATATGACGCACATTAAAGTTAAAAGTACAAAACTGTTTTATTATTAACTGGTTTACGCCGCGTGGATACCATGGCAGTAGGGTGGGGTAAATAATAACTTTTTTTGGAAAAAAACTTTAGAGGAACAGGTGATTTTAGAGGCAAATCGGCCAAAAAGTCATTTGTTCTTATGATGAAGCTTATGTCATACATATTCTTTGTCAAGTTTAGGTTATACTCCTCCACGTTGATACACGTACATGTCATCTGCCACTTTCAATTCTTGCACTTCACACATATGTGCTGCTTCATTAGTTACCTAAATATATATATATATATATATATATATATATATATATTCCAACTTTATTCTCTGAGATTTACCCTACCCTAATGACAGTCTGATTTCTTGCTATTTGAAACTATTTTATTGTGTGCTATTTTTACGTTGTCATTTCACGTCATTTCCTCTAGTGTATAAATAGCAAATTGTTATTATCGTTATTAAGTTTTCGCCCACACACGTTTTGCCCACATTGCATGCCAGCTGATATTTGTGGATCGTCAGCACAAAGGAAAGAGCAAAATTGTTTACTACTTGCATCAATCATCTAGTAAAAGTTCGAGGATAAGGTCGCTGTTTTGTAACCTTGTGGATATCTAGCTAAAATGAAACGATACCTTCCCTCTCACTGTTTGCATTATTATTATTATTATTATTATTATTATTATTATTATTATTATTATTATTCGTTTTGTTGACAAGCTAAATTTGTATAAATTTATATGGTGTATTGTGTGTATAATTATCTCTTCACTTTATATTTGGAATAGATAAAATTGATTCATTTGTTAACGAGCGCAATGGAGCCTTATTTTGAGGAAATCACTTTTTTGCACCGATTTTTTTAATGCATTGGGGATTGGTATGGAAGGTGGAAAAATTCAAAAGTAAAAAATACCATTGTTTTTTATGCTATGAAATGACCACATGGAGGATTGACACCCCGCTCGTTAACCAGCTTAACAATTTGTCGAGCCTTATTTTAGTCTTCACTGTATTTATGTATCCCCAATAAACGGTTTGTGTTGTACGTGTTGCTTATTTGTTTATCTTTTGCTTATTTATGAGAATATATTCTGAAGTTGATCGCGAGTGGCACTGGTTTTATCCATCCACGCCATGATTACCACCTGCACTTCATCAGGGAAAGATATTTTTGAATCTGTTTTAAGCACCATAGGTGATTTCACTGTGCGATTTGTCGTATATAGCAATAATAGAAAGATAAAGAAAAAAAATTGAATGCTAAATTAAACAGTTCATTGGGCCTATTTGTATGCTAAAAGCCGGATCCAAACTACCCAGAATTGCTCGTTTCAATAACTAATACATGCTATGAACTGATAGCACGTATACTAAAGGTGTGATAGGACTAGTTCTATAACAGCACTTACACTATTATTGATTACTTTTTTAAAATTTTATTTATTCAGGCCTACCCAACTACCAGACTCGGCACCTAAGGATCCTGAATTAACCGGTATATCGGACCACACTACCCGTTTTCAAGGTGTGTGTCAGATCGCATTTCGGAGTATCAGCCAGAACACCGACAGGATGAGCCCTGGCATGCTCGGCTGTCACCTTGATTGGATAGTAAACGAGTGTCGTAAAATCGCTATATGATTTTAAAACCGGGTGCATAAATTTGAAAGCCACCTAGATGAACCTTAGACTGCCACATTAATCTAATACAATGCAAAAATCCCTATCAAAAGTGGTTAAAACATTCAAACCGAATGTCGTAAAGTCCCCGTATATCCCCATAGACACAATAGAATAGAGTACTCTAAAGTAAGAGTACAGTTTAAGGTTGTTCAGCCGAGCGTGGATGAGCCCGCAGTCGTGCTACAAAATTTGTTCTGGGGTATGATACTCCGAAATGCGATCTGACACACACCTTGAAAACGGGTAGCGTGGTCCGATATACCGGTTAATTCAGGATCCTTAGGTGCCGAGTCTGGTAGTTGGGTAGGCCTGTTATTTATTTTTATTTATTTATTTAGATTTTTTTGCAGTACATGCATTCTTTTTCCAGTTTAATCGTATAATAAAAGCAATAAAACAACATGATGCCGACATTTCCTTCTGAAAAAATATCGTTATGTCAATATATGTCAATTTAGATCCTAAAACGATAAAACCCATCAAATGAAAGTAATAAAGGTACACGACGCCGACATTTCCTTCTGGAAAAAATTTACGATGAACATTAAAGACATTTTTTATCAAAATACTATAAAACATCGAATCAAAGTGAAATAACTGGTCAGAAATTATCAGCGAGTCGGAAAAAATTACTTAATTTCTTATGTACAAGAAAAATTTAACTTGGCGGGAAATCATACACATGTAGATGGCCAAATGAGGGTCCGTAGACATGATGCAGAATGCCTCTTGCAAGGGATGGTGCAGGAAAATATCAGGTAAATCAGGTAGAATGCAGGTAAATGCGTACAGTATAGGCAATTCTTGCAAGGACAATAAGTCAATCCGATATTTTTTTCCATAGTCACGCAGTTCATCAACTACAGACGTCATTCTCTATTAGATAAACAGACACACACAGTTGGACTGTTAACAACTCATCTCTGTAAACCTGACACGTGGAACTTCACACAAGCTGATCAATGGTACTAATATTATACCGAGATAAATACGATTCAGAAATCCATACTATATGTACGTTATTTAGGTTATCGTCCAACACTTTGCTTGCATAGAATGTAGAATGGCCTTTAAGCTTCTGCCTTATTACCTCAAATCGCTTACCAACAAGGTTATGTTTTCGTCGAAATTGTTTCTTTGTTTCATTTGTTTCTCGAAAAGATACCCATTATGTCGAAAACTTCCATTTAAATTTTGAATGAAATCTCAGTGCAATTAGTTATTCATGAAGATACAGCCAAAAATTGCACCGAATGTGGTTCCGCTAATCTTTGTATTTGGAGTGATCTCTAGTTTTATTTATTTATTTATTTATTTGTCCATTTATCACCTCATCAATTTGTTTCATTCAATTATTTAAATTTATCTTTACATTTATTCACAAATTTGTCTAGCTATATTCACTTATCTTTTTTTTTTTTTTTCATTTAGAGTTTTTGTCAATTTTATCGGTAAAGAAGGATAAGGATCCATTATATGAGAGTGCATGTGAAAGAGAGACTCCCTCTCTCTCTCTCACTCTCTCTCTCTCTCCCTCTCTCTCATTCTCTCTCACTCTTGCTCTCTCTCTCTCTCTCTCTCTCTCTCACTCTCTCTCACTCTTGCTCTCTCTCTCTCTCTCTCTCACTCNTATCATTAAAGGCAGTAAATTGTCATAATCACACTATTCACTACAATAAGAAGCACAGACAAACCTTTTAAAAGTTTTGGGGAACGCCGTATTTGACTGAGTCTGCCGAAGTGCGCAGTATTCCGTCAGCGCTGGCTATTTAAAGGGTCAGAGAGCACATGTCCACGCGCCTGGGATTGGTCTTGGCACGATTTTGCCCTCGTTGGTTCGAGATTTCCTAATCTCGCGTACTGTTCAGGTCAATTTTAGGGTCAAAGCATTTTCGAAATTAGTGATGAAATGACTAATTGGTTAAATTACTAAATTAACAGCACATTAACGAAAATGTTAATATCGAGATTTATCAGAACAACGAACACACGCCGGATGCTTACTTTAAGTTCAACATCAGTTTCAAATAAGGGATATTATGTCTTTGAACTGTGCACTCTCTCTTTCACTCTTGCTCTCTCTCTCTCTCTCACTCTCTCTCCCTCTCTCTCTCGCTCTCTCTCTCTGTCACTTTCTTTCTCTCTTTCTTCCAGACGTACACCCTGAGGGGGGGGGGGGGCAGAGAGGTTTCTGGTTTGATTCTTTCTGTTTGTGCCGTAGCGTACACGGTATGTGGGCCTTCACAAGTGGACGTATTTGGATTTAAAAAACGTCCACTTTACCAATGAGGAAATCCACTTTTTTTAAATCAAAATTTACATCTTGTCCTGATTTTAGGAGCGACAAATTAAGACAAACGAAAAACTGACTTTATAATGATAGTCCAAGTAACAGGTCCCCAAGACCACAGGTTTGTAGAAGTGAAAAATCAACAGCAATCAAATGCAATCAGATCCTTGCTAACGCATTTATTTAGGACCTTTGATTGTATTGTTATGCTATAGAAGGACATGGCATAAGCTTTAAGTATACCTTTCTGGTCAAAAGAAGATTGCTTTGAAAATTTTCCAGGATTTTTTAAAATAATTTATTTGGTTGAGATGTGAAGATACGCAGCTGCCTTGAAGAAGTTTTACAAGACAGTGATATCATCCACTAAAATTTCAAATTCAATTTCAAAACTTTAATAACTCCATCGGTCATTTACATATTTATGAGCGTTTACACACAAAATTGTAATAATAATAATAATTAATAATAATAATAACAGTTAAGTTTTTTCACTCTTCTTAATTTGCCAATATCTCCTGATGGCAATATTCGTCGTACAATTACTCAGCAATTCTTTGATCGTTTTATACATGCTATGGACTAGGGACGTCGCGTCCAAAGCGTGAGAATCGAAATGTAAAGCAAATGACTTGGAGGGCACAATTTCACAAGCAGTGACGTTCGGTGCTGCCACATATCTCTTAGTGACATCAAAACCCGGTTCTTGCCGAGTCGGAATTATAGCTATGCGTGCGAGAATTCCCGTGATGTAGGCGTCCTCTATCGGCACCAATGGCACGCGCTTTGCAGTTTCGAATAACCTATTCACGACGTCCCCAGACATAAGGTAAGCTGGTCCTGCTAGATAACGCGGGAAATATGGATAAGGGAATACCTCACGAGAGACACCCCACCGACCCTCACGTAAGACCACGGGGATTTTATTATGCATCCCCATGAGCACTTTTCGTGGAATTGTGCTCAGTAAAATAAAAAGCAACTTTTCAGGGAGAATGAGGACGTCGTCGTCTGCTTTCAAAACGAACTGCGCATGCGGACAGTGCTCGGTTGCCCAGCGGAGGATTGACAGAGACTTGAGGGTTAAATTTTGATACGATTCAGCAAAGTCGTATTGTATGACGTCATTATACAGAGCCCCCTCTCTGGCTATTTCTTTGTCCAGAGGGTCGTCTACACTGCGACCGAAAATAAAGGCAAGGCGAACGCTTTCTGGAAGTCTTTCCCTCGCCCCCCAGGTTGTTCTTATCATGCGTCTGCGATCTATGTTCTGGTACGTAGACAAAATCACAATTAAAAGCATCACTTTGCCTTGACACAAGGCGGCGGGAGGCGACACCATTAAACTGAAATCTAGCTGATTTACGATGTAAGGTTTCTTCATTAGACGGTACTGTGGCTCGTCTGCTAAATTTGACAGATACAAGTTATACTTAATTAATTCCGGGTCACTAACAGTGCTATTCTCTGTTTTCTCCCCCTCGGCCTGGATTTTCACTAAAGGTGCAGATTTCTCTGAATCAAGAGCACGATCTCCAGTGAAGTTTCTCTCCCGGCGAAGACTGCCTTCCTGTAGCATCTTATTGTCTCTCTGACCACCAAGGCCTGTTCCTTGAATCCCATGAACTCTGTAAGAGCCGTTACGGAATCTTAAGTCGTCTATCGGTGCACCTTTAATGTTCTGCTTGAATTCATGTCCATTCCTGTTAATATCTTTCAAGACATTATTATGCTCCTTGATGCCGCCCGTGCCTCCTTGTCTGTTATTTGAAATATCACCGTTTACGAGTTCAAAATCCCGGAGAGGTCTGTTGTCATTGGATTTTGAGCTTACACCTCGTCTGAATGCCTGGCCTTCCTTCTGTGTAACTGGCCGGGCATCTTTGGGCAGGTTTTTCAAGTGCCCTTCGCTGTGCCCCAGTACATCATCCAAAGTCTTTAGGAGCAACACGTCCCTTTGAGAGGCGTGGTTCGCAACCCTTGGGGAGAGATACTGCTTCAGCAACGTTCTACTAACGATGAGCGTTATACACAGCCACGCAACAAGTCCCAACGCCAGCCATTTCATCAGCTGAGGCATGTTTATGTTGCCCAAGTGCTAGGCGGTTGTCAACACCAAAGTAACTTCAAAAATATAAATTAGCATAATTTTGGCTTCTAAACATCACTTGTCGGTGACTTGTCAACATAGCGAATTTTTAACCAAAGTAAACACACTCGTATACAGTACTAACCGAGTTAACAGTCAATAAGGACATCCTATTGTCCTGGTATCTGCATTTCTTGTCTCATCCATTTGGTTTAAAGCACGAGGAAAAAATGCACAATCATTTGAAAATGGCTACCGCAAGTACTTTTATCTTGTTAATTGGGGTGGCAAATGCATAATTATTTAAAAACTATTCATACTACACATTTTATGCGTTCAACCACCATCGTACATAAATGACCTGACCCAGCAAGGTCATGCTAGCGCATCATTCTGACCAAAATGTGTTATTAGTGTTATAGTCACCCAAAAATGCAAGTTCAATGCGTGTAAAATTGGGCAAAAATTTGTCCAACAGTTTACACTTTATAGTACATTACTTAAGTGACGCCAGAACATGAGTTACTTGACGTTTCCTTTATAGAATTTAAGCTATTGGGAGTATACTTCAGATTTCAAAATAAAATGAATTTTTGCAATTGATGACTTTGAAATGCTATGTATGGAACTATACATAAAATATAATTAACATTATGAGCTAATAAAAAAAAAAGGCTGGGATGTCCAAATATTGATTCATGGACGAAAAAGTTGAATATGTGACAGCACTGACAAGGCATTTATAGGCCGAAGTGTTAGGGGTAAAATAATACTAATAATAATAAATGATTAAAGAAAAGAAAAGAAAAGAAAAAACGACCAGACATTTGCCAATTGTTACTTTCAATGCCCTTATTATGCCTCGTGTTTTAACAGGAAAGCGCGTCCCCACATTACTTTAATCGATGCGCGATATACGCTACTGAATAATCTTAATGGTCGTTAGTCCTTCTAATGCCAAAAGAGCGTGACAAGAATAAGGGGAAGTGAATCTACCGAATGAATCGTGCTGAAAAAAATAATAAAATAAAATTAATAAATAAAACAATAATAATAAAAATAAAGGCACGCAGTTCAAGTTAGACTTTAAGATAAATAAAATTCAATAAAAATGAACGATATTAATAAATAGATGACAGAACTAAGTAAATAATAATAATAATAATAATAATATTAATTTTGATTTCTGATATATATGCAATTTCTCTTTATCACCAAGGAATGCCATATCCAAAACCCCGTTTATTCTAGTTTCAGTATCTACATATAGTTTTTGAGTCACTCTCGTAAATAAACTAGTGTAAATTTCGCAGTTCGTTCGTGACAGTAAAAGAAGACATTTAGACCTTGGAATGGGTTCATGTTTAGGGTTTTAAGTCCTGACTTTCTCAACGATTTCAGATTATATATACCTAAGTACGTGATAAAGCAGGGGTTGCATAATATCTCAGATTATTGTTATATAATTAATTTTATTTCATTATTATTTTTCTAATTATTTCATCATGAATTAACTGATTGAAATTCCCATAAAATTTCTATTTCTTTGCTATACATAGTAAGAACTTGCAGTCTGCCTTTGAAGCTGCTTATGTGTGGCTTTTGGGCATGGACGGGTGCTATCTAGTTGAAATGATCAAGCAAGGGGAGTGCTCCCCTTGTGGGAGGGGGGTTCAACGCACAGTAACCCCCGTCATACGAGACTCGTACCACTTTTTAACATGGTATGATCGTGAACCGCACAAACGCGAGTGCACGCACACACTCTTCGTGTAATTTTTTAAAAGTAATACTGAAAAAATATTAAATCGGGACAATGCTGAGTTTATGATCCTTTATTCCAACATAAATTTACTTAATAAATATGATTAAAATCATAAACGAGAACTTTCTATGAACGCATGAACACCCGTTGACTAAAAAGTTAAACGAATACCTAAATACTGACAGACAACATTATTAATACATTTATCAGAAAGACAAGTATAGTGAGTCGAGGTAACTTAAAAATGAATGAGAGTATCGACAAAATGTTGTGCTTAGGAATAAATACTGGCACAGTATTTCCTGAGAGTTCTCGACTCGTTTCAGATCTATTCGTAGCAGGCTGGTATAGAGACTAAAAAGTTCGGTAGCTTAAATTTCCTCATGTAGTTCTGTTCTTTTTCCATCTTTAAGACAAATAATTTCACACTGGTGGATAATCCAGAGCAACACACGGAGTAAAAATAATCCAGTTGGAAGAGAAAGTTTATCTTCAGAGCTGCATGCGTATTGCCAAGTTGTGCATCTGGACGGGTAACGTCTATAGTCAATGCCGAAATTTGTGCGTTCGTTAAATCGTTCTGATCTTCACACAGTACAACTTTGAACATCAACTCTGCTCACTGAAGTAAACGTTTCAGCAGTCAAGCATAAATCAACCAAAGTCGAACAAAAATTGTGCAATTTTGAACTTTCAACTGTACCATATATAAAAAGAAACTGGCATAAACAAATCAATAAATAAAAACAGCAATCATAAAACGCCATCAATTTTAGCATTCTGAGCTATTCCTCTTTACTTGATTAAGACTTGAGGGCGTTCTTGTCGCCTAAGTTCTTTGCGGCGCGCTTAAGCTTAGCCAATTTGTGCGGCGACGTTTTCCCATATGTTTTGGTAATCCAATAATAATAGTACGAATGGGATCCGAAGATGATGACGTTGATTAACACTGATGACCATATTACAGTCTGAAACAAAAAAAGGAAGAATGCAAAAGTCGCATTTAAATAGATCTAAGCCTTTATCAACAACAATGGCCCTATTCCAACCTGATGCAATAAATAAATAAATAAATAAATAAATAAATAATAACATATTTTATGAAAAAAAATGCCGGTATGCTTCATCCCAATAATAACACTGTGTTATTATTGGGATGAAGCATACCGTCATTTCACACCAACAGAAGGTCTAATGGAGGCAAGCGACTTGAATGTACGTTGCTTTGCCTATAAAACATCCTTTCTCAACTATCACAATCGAACGTGACCCTCTCTCTCTCTCTAACGGAAATACACACACTTAAAAACAAAAAAGGGTGGGGTTTTAAAAATAATGATTTAAACTTTGCATACATCAGGTTAACAGATAACGAATTCCAGAAAACGCTGTGTAGGGAGTAGTTTCATTTTACTCGCAGTTTACTTGTAATTGGTAAGACGACCCTTGACATGGGGTTCGGGTCCCGCTGACGGGCTCCGAAAATAAATGGTCTTTTAGAGGGCGAGCGGTGCCACTTGAACTATGATTCAACTAGTCCAAATTCTGATTTCATGAGGGGACCATTGTTGTGGTTTATTTTTCAGAAATCGAAGGGGGGGGGGTGAAGGGGTGAGGTTAAAATGGTAGAAAAAAGTATAGTGAAAATTGAAATTATTTCATTACAAAGATGGCCAGTTCCCATCACGGAAAAGAATAATCACTAAAGCCGAATTTACATTTTTTTAATATTTGTATACAATGTATTTTTATTTATAGCAGCCTGCAGTGAATAAACAATGAACTACAGTCCGGAATAGATTTTTGCTGTGATATAATTATTATATGATTACGTTATATCTTTAGGCAACAGTAGACATTTCCACCAAAGGTAATTTTTTAAAATAAATCTGGGAAATGTGCCCCATCATTGCTACATGTTTCGTCTATATGCAAATACATGTACTAGTATATAATAATTAAAACGGCGAAGGCCTGAATCATCACTTACATAAATGAGTTATACAACATCTCCATTTTACACCCTGCTACCATAACCCACATTCACTTCAATGTCTAAGTTGTCCTCCTGTTAAATACAACTAGATCACACAAAGTGTTCGAACAAAATGTATAACAGGCCATAAACCCAAAAACGTGCACAATAAATGACTCAGCATGAACGTACTCGCTCAACTCGACCTCTTCCGTTCGCTAACCGCACGTTTACTTTGTTCTCTTTCTTGGACTTTATATCATCAATTTAAAAAAAAAAAAGATTAAAAAGGGCCTCCTATACAACTTGATTGCTGTTTTCAAAGCTCTGAATGATACGATCTCAACGTCAGTGAAGTTGTGTGCTTTTCATAAGAACTGCCGGTAGCGTTTAATCGACCGTCAGAATCACTTACCCATTTTGAAACTGTTCTTTTTGGCGGACCAGCCATATCATTCCACATTCTCTTCTGTACAGTGGCACTTGGACGGATCAAAAGAGACCCAACTTTCCTTAGCGCTGAATTCATCTTCAAATCAAGGATTTACGCGAGAAAATGATCTCCCTTCCCACACACTACGAGGTCTCGTGCTTATTAAAGCCGGTTACTTATGTCATCACCTACTTCCCATGTAACATCTGCCCAAAGGCGAAAAACCCTACAGCTGAATATTTTATTTATGACTTCTTTATATAATTTTTAACCAAACACATGAGTAACCTTTTCTTTTAAAGAATATTTTCATTCAACATTTTCAGTTTTACGACGGTATGAGGCCGAGGAGGGAGGGAGTTTGACTGATGTAAGTGGGGTAATCAAGGTCAAGGTCGGCCTGTGAGTCGCTTCCCATGAAAGTTTATATCTCCGGAATTGTGACCATTTTTTGTTTGAATGACTGAGAACTGTTCGTCATGGGGTTGGGATTTAATTGTAGATTCCTTTTATTTTATATTCTGTACGCGCTAAGGTGCATCAAAGGTAAGAGATTCGTACATAAACACTAACTGAAATGTACAAACTCGAGAGAGTCCCGTTTCGAATGTTGTCAGTGTTGGTGTTCACTCATCAGTCATAGTCCTAGAATATGGTGCGGCAAGCCGATTCCCCCAAATGCGCACATATTTGTATTTGTAATTTGTAATAGCCACAAACAAAATATTCAAGGTTATTTCTAGGGTATAATATCATTTTAACTGTACTTTCACATCCGTTTTACCCTCTGGAGTTACTAGTAAATTTTTATCAATCGTTATCAGACCTCCCAAGCTCAGAGGTACCAGAAGAGAAAACTGGAGTTTAAACATTCATTTTCTGTCTTAAATAAATCACAGACTTATAACTTCTTTACTGATGTGTCGAAGTTTTTCAGACGACTAACTAAGACCCCTGGAAATTGTCCAGTAATGAATATATGAAGGAATTAACCAACAACTTCAGTGACTATAGGCCTTGGTGTAATTAAAGCAGTGGGGTCATTGATAATAATAATCTCCAGACTAGACTTACGGATTATGTCCTTGCACATGACAAGATTTTGATATTATGGTCTGGACGTCAAGCTGTCACCTGTGTCTGACACCGTGTACGTTCTCAGTCAGATATGCTATATCTTTTTAAATGTTTACTTTTATTTCTTTCAGTTCACTGTGCAGCGGCAGTAGGTGATGGATTCAAAGTCTGTCCAAATACACTAACAGCCTATTCCACGATAACAAAGAGCCACAATGCCAGGTAAATAATAATAACAATTAAAATAATTTTATTTCTTATAAAGCATCCTCCCATTTCATTGCACTTAACATAGTGTAGTGCCAGATGCAGGTAGAACCGGCCAGGTAGCTCAGTAGGTAAGAGCACTCGCCCTGTAGGCGAGGGGTCCCGGGTTCGATTCCTGGTCTGGCTGGTGGTTTTTCTGCACTCACCCCAAATCGCTACAATATTATATACTATACAATTTGAATTTCTTTAAATACAGTCCCATACAGTATTAACAATAATTCAATATTGATTTTAAAATAAACTTTGAAAGTAAAAAAAAACATATTCGTGATTTTTGAAGATGCTTCATTGCTTTCATTATTAAAGAGATTATAGTAATTATTGTGTGTTTTGGCAAAAAAAAGTTACCTAGGATAAACTATGATTTTCCATACTTACCAATGGTTAATGAATCCCCTCATGACTACATTTAAAGCTACTCCATGCTTTTTTCCTAAAAAGTTCATTTTTTTATTTGGTTTTTATCTCTTAAGAGATTATTAAGTTCCATGTGGTCTGATGGCAAGCACAAATTCCTGAATAATTGCAATAATCCCTGTTAAGGCAGTAAAATAACATTTTTAGATTTTTATGAGTTGCTTACAGTGTTTTTATTGTGAAATATGAATCTCATTTATAGAGTTATTTTCCCTTTAATTTTGACTTTTTATTTTAAACAATTTCTAGGCATAAATAGTAAAAACTATGCATCAACAAACTTTCAAAAAATTTCTTTGTCAGGTGTTACCAGTTTGTTGATAAAGAAGTCATGTGGGACAAGGCCAGAGACATCTGTTCTGGAGCAGGTGGGAAATTAGCAGAAATATATGATCTTTCCACTGCAAAGTTCCTCAGGACTACATTGAACGGGATGACTTCGTGGGACAATGAAGGAGTTTGGATTGGAGGCAGAAAGAAGAGTGGAAAGTGGTATTGGGCCACAGGCAAGTGTTCAGTATATATTGTATATTGTATATGATATAATATATTATGATTTTTATGTTTAATGCAGTTCTATGTGCTACTCTCCCTTCCTTCTCTCCTAATCTCTGACTCACAAATTGGGACCCCACAAAACTATTAATGATTATAATGTTTAAACTTAAATTATTGGTATTATTTAGTACTAGTACTATGAGATTAATGTTTTTGTTATTGTAATTGATATATATATGTTGGAATTTTTTTAATATAATAATTACTCTGATTTGGGATTCTTATATAAAATGTGCTTTTTCTCTGTTTCTGTTGATTTTTTTTTTTTTAGATATTTAATACTATAGATAGATAGATAGATAGATATGTTCTTTTTCATGTTATTAAGAGAAATATTATTTATCATATTTGATATGTAGGAAGACCTATGGTATTCACAGATTGGGCACCAGGGGAGCCTGGTGGACTGGACTTCCCCTGTTTTGGTGGAGACTGTGTCTTAATGAGGAGAAGTGACCGCTGGAAGTGGTCAGAGTGCTTCTGTAAAACCTTCAACTATGTCTACAAGTTCATCTGTCAGTTTGGTAAGTATTTCAGTGTAGTTTAATATTCGGGATGATTTTTTTAAAATTTGTCCAGTTGTTTTAAACTAGAATAAGGGATGGATTTTTGATGAAATCTCACAAATTTTGGTATTTACTTCAATTCACCTGAAGAAGGCATGGGGATAAAGCTGAAATGAAGTGACCTCGGTGTAGGATGTAAGCTTCAGTATGTGAAAGTCTGAAAAATATATTGACCCCCCTGTAGAATGTAGGAACCAGCATGAGATAAGGCTGGTATACAGTGTAGAACAGAGGCTGATATATACTAGTAGTCACCTATGTGAAGAGGCTGAAATGTATTGACCTCCATGTGGCACTAAGGTTTATTATGAGATTTAATTATAATTTGTTTGATAATAAGTAAAAATGTTCATTAGGTCTGTAGTTGGATTATGAATGAAAAAAAAAAACATCCATACTGCATGGTATGAAAGTTTTTTGGATTGTTTTTGATAATTTTTCATTTATCTCTGATAATACTTTACCTAGCGGTGGATAAAAACCCAGTGAAATGCTGAAAACTGACCAGTAGACATTTGCAATGAGCAGTTATGAAAAATTTTCTGGGCCAGAAGACATTTTGCTGAACCAAATTTTTTTCTTCATGATTGTGCTTTAGTTTTCACAGAGGAGTATGAAAAATATAGATAAAATGATTACTCACTGAATGCTAATGGTATCTCTTTAAACTGTTGTTGTGAACCATCTGAATATATATATATTTTTAATCATTGAAAATATTATCAGTCTCGACCAGTAAAACTGACAGTGTCAGCATTTCTGGAACGGACCCTAGTGGGAACGGGGCTTCATTTGCTGGAACCTCCTTTACCTGTGTTGTTTATTTTCTTTGGACTCTCTTACATGCTGAGATTGGCTGAAATTAGTTCAGTGCTAGCATGAACTCAAAGGAGAAAATGAAATAAATAGTTTCAATGGACCTGTAATGAGGTATATATTGAACATGGTCTAGGGCAGAAGTACATCTCGTTGGCTTATATAACATCAGGGTGTGAGTAGAGGTTGCTGACAGCTGTAGTGGTGGGCCAGTCTATATTAAAAATAAATAAATAACAATAAAAAAAATGAAATTAATTTAACCTTAACCAACAAGGAAGTTCCAGAACATGTTGATCTAATTTTCATGTATTTTCTACAGAACATTCTCCATATTCTTTATCACAAAATTTTTTTTTAATAAAAAGGAAAAATGAGCAGTCTTATTTTACTAGCACTGTACTTGCAAGGCCATGTTCTTAAATTAACTTAACTAGGAGTCATTTTAATATCTGATATATCTTGTATGACTGTCACTGCAAATTGTCATAGACATTGTAAAATGCATCAAAACAAATCAATAAATTGGTTGATAAATAGATTAATAAATGGACAGGGGAATAGATTTATAAAAACTAGTAGTGAGGATTAATAATTTAAGGAACATCTCAGTCTGCACAGCCAGACTCGTGGCGCGTCTTCATTTGAGATGAGTTGATTTAACTTAACACATACCTTCTGATTACTAAATTTTTAGGGAGAAAATCTAGACAGATGGTGCTGTTGTCAAATCCTCATTTTATTTATTTATTCAAATCCATTTATGTATACTGTAGACTTGCAGTGCTTACATAGCTGTATTTTTAATCAGATGAAATGATGAGTCCGTTTGTTCTCGCGAAGTAGAGTGGAAAAGGGCCTTGCAGATATAATATATTATGATATATATCATATCATAATCTGAAGTGTTATTAGTTATGTTGCTACTGGCTGGACAGTGGTCATCAGCTGGACTGAATGTGGTCAGAATATCATATCATCCATCACCTAGCTAGGATGGTAGTCATCTTCAGACACTTTTCACTGTACATGGAGAAGGTATTGAATTAGCTTCTAGGGGAAATCAGAGATAATCAGACTAACGTTCAGTGTAAATGTAGCTTATGCAGCATTGATTTTATTATCTGCACCATTCTCAGTGATGATCAATGAGGATGAACTACTCATAGCTTGTCTGCTGTAGTAGGGAATCGAAGTCATTGTGCCCGAATAAGGCCACATTCACAACAGAGTTGATCCATGGACTAACAGATCCACAGATCAAACATGGCCAACCCATTTTGAAACTAGCTGCGTAATCCCTGTGGGGAATCTATTCAGTGTCTACTAGGGGGATTATGTGTTAAGCTTTTAATTGGGTCCACCATATTTGATCTAATAATCTGTTAGTCATAACTGATAACTGGAATGGAAATGTAACTCAGGATGATAAAAAAGACTAATAAGGAAAAAATCTGGAGCTCCAAGATGGTTTTGATGGGTTGTAACTTTTGCAGTCACAGTGGTTATAAGTAATTAAGATATTATATACCTAACAGTGGTTGATAACTTGTCCATTTTTGCAAGTGCCCTCCCAAATTTAACTGGTCGAAAAAAATACTTGCCAGGAAAAAGGGATTTATATGTGCTAGCACTCACATTTATTTACCCTCCCCCTGTACAAAAAAATTTAAAAAATGCTTACAAAGGTATCTGCCTTTTTAGTGTTATTTGGGTGGGGGAAAATTCAGACAATTGTATTAGGAAAAGTCACTTGGCAGTGCTCATTCAGGCATTTATGTCCACCGGCATTTTTACTTGTTCAGCAGTTGCAACTGATTATTCAGCTGTCCAAGACAAATGGACAAGGTTTATTATTAGGCCCTGCCTTATTAAGATTATAAAGTTTTTTTTTAATATGCAGCAAATTACTTTGGTTGAATTGCATGCCTTCAATAGAGTTTCAGACTTAAACCTTACAATTTGTTGCCTCTTTCTTACAGATGAAACAGATACTGGTGTTTTTCAAGCAGATACCTCTGACAATTTAGGTAAGTAGATACTATCCTTAATGTTTGTGTTTGTGTGTACGTATTTATGTGTGTATACATGTACAGCAGTGTGTATGTATGTGTGTATGTGTGTGTGTGTTTGTGTGACTGTGTGTGTAAGAGCGTGCATGTATGCAAATATGTGTGTTTTTGCTTGTTACGAATAATATGCCCAGGTAAGAAGAAAATAAATTTTACCAATTCAGCCTTTTATTTTTTTTCACACATCAGTAATGTTTCCAACACTTTAAGTGTCATAATGTTAAGCCTAATAAAATATTTAACAGACCTATCAAAAAGTAAGTTGAAAAATGGGACACTAGTATTTTGATTTGGTCCCTTCATAAGATTGAAATAAAGGAACACAGTTTTGATATGATCCCTTTATAGGATCCCATTGAAATGTTACCTGACTGGCATATTGCCCCTGGTAGATTACATTTACATCTTATTCAAGTCCATGTCTGCTGGAGCAGTATGGTAACAGTAACAGATCAGATTTAATGAGAACATGGCACTTACTCATGGAAACTGTAGTTAAGACTGGGTTCCAATACTTAGATCGATCTAACAGGATCAATCCATGTGGGAGGGGTTTATCTCTAAATTGCTTTCAGTTAAAGCGGTTTTGATGTCTGGCATGCCTACTAAAGCTGCTAAATGATAATTAATTACCCACTAACAGCTTCAGTAGGCGTGGCAGACATCTAAGCCTCTAAAGTTGATTGCGATTTAGCAAGAATCCCCTTGGAGATGGATCGATCCACAGTTAGTATGATAGGGTCTGGGAATGGTCCCTAAGGTTCAAAAATGTTTAAAGATTTGCTTCCCTGGATTTATATCTTTCTTTTTTATCTCAGAGACAGAGTGGCATTACTTTTTCATTCATGGGCCTTAAATAAAGATGGAGTCAACTTTGAAGAACAGATTATTCTTGGCTTTTGACAGATGTGTCTTTCCGAGAAGCAAGATGTGGAATGACTTCTGATTGGGAGAGACTCGGGGGTTGTTGTTGGCTTCTGAAAAATATGTCTTTTGTAGTTTATTCTAAAGTAGATTTTAGAAATTCCTTAGAAGCAAATTGCAGATCAGATTTGTTTCAAGGATTTGTGTAAGGCTAAGGACATAGTCTAAAATGACAGCTTTTTGAACTTGACTGGGATCTTATTTTTCATAAATAACATCTCTTTTGTAAGATTATCTGCAAGGGCATCACCCTGGGTGAGGCAGACTTTCATTGAAATAAAGTTATCCTGAAAAAAAGAAGTATGGTGGTGGTGTCATTTGTATGATATCCGTCAGTAATACTAGCCATTGGTCATAAACAATTGACCTGTACATACGAAATCAGAATGTAAGAGAATAAGTTAGGAGTTATTCTCATCATTAAATTTGTACTACAGGTGCATTCTCTGTGACCAGTTTTAAGGCTGATAGACCAGTAAGTGGGAAGGCATATGTTCTGGTTCTCATGGCCATTAGATTCCATGCCAAGTATTGTGGGTTAGAGAAAACATTTAGAGAAGCAGAGATTATCTTGAAGTAAATTTATTGATTTTTGGAGGTTATCACAGAAGGATACAACATTTAGTCAGAATTGAAAGATAATATAAATGATACCACATTCATGTATACACACAGTCTTATCAATGTGCGTATCCAGTGAAGCCTGAAACTCACAGAGAAAAAACATAAGACTAGCCTGATAATAGAGGTTGGTTTCCAGTACACCCTGAAACTCAGGGTGAAAACCACTAGCACAGGGCTGATAGCAGAGGTGGGTTACCAGTGATCTCTGACATTCAGGGTGGTTGGAACAGGAGACAAAGAAAATGGTCATGACTTAAGACAGCAAAACGGGAAATTTTGAAGCTAATTATAAAAATCCAAAGAATCTGTCTGAGCATAAATGAGAGAGAGAGAGAAGGGGGGGGGGGGGGGGAGAATTGATACAGCATTGATTTTCGTCATTTTTAGAAGATGCTTTAATGCTTTTGTAAAATTGCTAATGACATAGTCCTGTTTTAAAGCTGACTATATTTTAGGAATCATGATACTAACAGTAGGCCCAGGGTTAAAAAATATGGATGAATGGACATATAAGGCTGACCTTCATTATTGCTTGCAGCAAAAAAAACCTTGAGGTCTTGTTAGCTTCAATTATTCAGCAAAAGAAGTTAAAAAAAACATTGAAAGAAGAGACATTTGCTGCTGAGATTTTGGTGCCATGATTGAAATCTTTACAGAACCTCAAACAACAAGAAGCCAAGTTATAAAGACTCTCAGGATAGCATCTTGGGAAATATACTTGGACCAACATATTACCATTTCAATCTGTTTTTATTTCATTTTTCTCAACCAAAATCAATACACTTAAACAGTATTACTTGTAGTAGCCAAGTCAGCTGAGGAGCACATTGTGTGTTTTTAGAATATGGCAGGGAGGTATATACCTTTTTTCATGTAGAGGTAAAGGCTGGGTTTATAAAATGATATACTTATTATACAAGATCAGTTAGCTTTACAGTTCATCCCTGGTCTTTGTGGATAGATCTTACACTGTTGAATTTCTGAGGAGCAAACATCCCAGCAGCATCATATGTGACCCACATGAATTCTCATCTGCAATTATCACCACTAGTTCTTTACCCCCTGCTTCAAGTTGAACTTATTCATGAGCAGGTCATGGAATTAAAACAATGGAAGTTACAAAGGACACATCATATACTCCAAACACAATATTTCCTATTGAACCGAAGAAAAAAAGGAATAATATGTACAGACACATCTGTGTCTGTACATAAAAGTCATAATCCTGATAATTTCCTTTAGCCTGGATCCTGTGCTGTTGGATTTTCATTTATTGTGAAATGAGGAGGATGGACTCAGAAATGCAGCCTGTGTATCCATGTTTGATTGATGATTATATATATATATATATTACAGTTTACACATGCTGAAGGAATCTGTATCAAGAAAAATGCAAGGGACATTTTAAAATATGTCTCCGTGACCTAATCAGAGTGCTGGTTTAGATCGAATCAGTCTATAATCAAGTAGAAGTGGTAAATCAGTTGAACTCTTGTAAGGAGGCCAGTTTGAGAAAATGAAGGAGACTTTAAGGAATCTAACAGCTGGCTTTCACAATGAGCAGTATTTTGAATTACTGGGGCACTCACAGATGATGAAAGGTTTGAAAATGGAGCAGTTTGGGTGTAATATTTCTTAAACTGTAAGCAGGCTGACTTCACTGACTGGGCCAGGGTTTTGCTGGATGGGGATAGGGTGGAGTGCATGTGCAAGGATAGTAATTCACTTCACTGTAAAGTGGTAGATGAAATTTTTATGTAAAGTTTCAGGCACATGGAATCAGAAAACTGCTTGGTTTTGACTTTTTATTTATTATTATTATTATTATTATTATTATTATTATTTATTTATTAATTTTTTTTTTTTGGGGGGGGGAACTTGAAAAGCTAAATGATCTGCCATTGGAATTAACTAGTATATTACAGAAAATTTTACCAGTAGCATAATAAAAATATACTGCACATGTGTATATTTATTATACTATTATAATAAAATATGCCACACACACACACACACACACACACACACACATAATGTGTGTGTGTGTGTGCGCGTGCACATTTCTTTTTGTAACATCTTTGGTGCTATATACCTATAATATTTATAAAAAAATTGTCAAGTGACATATTCTATAATAAGTCTATTTTCTGTATTCCAGGCTTGATAGGTATACTGCTAAGGATAGGAGTAAGGGCACACTGGCAATTGTTCTGTCCCTAAAATAATCTCTGCAATAAATCTGCTTATATAATCTATCTTCCAGGTCTGGTAGGGATAGAAGTGGGTGTTNACGAATGCGCTTACTCCAGCTGGTGGTACAATATTCGGAGGCGGTATCGCCTCTCTGATCCTCTAGTTGGTATTATTTAGTACTATGTGATTAATGTTTTTGTTATTGTAATTGATACATATCTTGGAATTTTTTTAAATATAATAATTACTCTTATTTGGTATTCTTATATAAAATGTGCTTTTTCTCTGTTTCTGTTGATTTTTTTTTTTTAGATATTTAATCCTATAGATAGATAGATAGATTGATTGATAGATAGATATGTTCTTTTTCATGTTATTAAGAGAGATATTATTTATCATATTTGATATGTAGGAAGACCTATGGTATTCACAGACTGGGCACCAGGGGAGCCTGGTGGACTGGACTTCCCCTGTTTTGGTGGAGACTGTGTCTTAATGAGGAGAAGTGACCGTTGGAAGTGGTCAGAGTGCTTCTGTAAAACCTTCAACTATGTCTACAAGTTCATCTGTCAGTTTGGTAAGTATTTCATTGTAGTTTGATATTCGGGATGATTTTTTAAAAAATTTGTCCAGTTGTTTTTAAACTAGAATAAGGGATGGATTTTTGATGAAATCTCACAAATTTTGGTATTTACTTCAATTCACCTGAAGAAGGCATGGGGATAAAGCTGAAATGAAGTCACCTCGGTGTAGGATGTAAGCTTCAGTATGTGAAAGTTTGAAATATATTGACCCCCCTGTAGAATGTAGGAACCAGCATGAGATAAGGCTGGTATACAGTGTAGAACAGAATGTTAGCTTCTGTATGAAATGAGGCTGATATATACTAGTAGTCACCTATGTGAAGAGGCTGAAATGTATTGACCTCCATGTGGCACTAAGGTTTATTATGAGATTTAATTATAATTTGTTTGATAATAAGTAAAAATGTTCATTAGCTCGATAGTTGGATTAAAAATGAAAAAAAAAAAATTCATACTGCGTGGTATGAAAGTTTTTTGGATTGTTTTTGATAATTTTTCATTTATGTTTGATAATACTTTACCTAGCGGTGGGTAAAAACCCAGTGAAATGCTGAAAACTGACCAGTAGACATTTGCAACTACCCTGAGTGTCTCAGCAACGTAAAAGCTAGCTTCTTAAATATACCTTATGATGGAGTTGCTTTTACCGGTATTGTTGATATGGGTTATATATGAAATCAAGATCGAGCTGGCAGTACCGGAATCTAGAACCTAGGGTATTTGCAACGAGCAGTTATGAAAAATTTTCTGGGCCAGAAGACATTTTGCTGAACCAAATTTTTTTCTTCATGATTGTGCTTAAAGATGCATACAAAGTCAATTTTTTGTCACAAAAACCAACCAAATGCCAGCATATAGTTTCAAGTAGTATAACTAAGAGAATTACCAAAAGGCATTGTTTAATTTTACCCGAAAATGATGTTTGAACAGATTTTTCTGCTGGCATTCTAAGCTGTATGTCAATGGGGCAGGAAAGTAGGTCACGGAAGTAGGTTAAATTTACAACCATAAATTTAAAGAAAGGAGCAGTCTAAAGGTCTTTTATGGCTGATCGAGTGATCTATACAGTTTATCCCTTGGCATGTCAAATTTATTTGAGTCAAATAAGAATCTAGTAGAAGTGGTTTACATGTGTTACTGGGAATCCACGCTCCACCGATGCTCGGTTCGTATGTACCTTTAAGTTTTCACAGAGGAGTATGAAAAATATAGATAAATGATTACTCACTGAATGCTAATGGTAGCTCTTAAAACTGTTGTTGTGAACCATTTGAATAATTTTTTTTTTTTTTTTTTTTTTATCATTGAAAATGTTATCAGTCTCTACCAGTAAAACTGACAGTTTCAGCATCTCTGGAAAGGATCCCAGTGGGAACGCAGCTTCAGTTGCCAACACCTCCTTTACCTGTGTTGTTTATTTTCTTTGGACTCTCTTACATGCTGAGATTGGCTGAAATTAGTTCAGTGCTAGCATGACCTCTAAGGAGAAAATCAAATAAATAATTTCAATGGACCTGTAATGAATTTTATATATTGAACATGGCAGGCCCGTAGCCAGCATTTTCAAAAGGGGGGTTCTTTTTCTGAAAAAAGTGGACCTTTTTCCATAAAAACTACATCTTACCCAGACTGGACCTTTTCCCAGCAAAAGGGGCAGTTCTTTCGAACCCCCCGAACCCCCCCGGGCTACGGGCCTGCATGGTCTACGCCAGAAGTACATATTGTTGGCTTATGTAAGATCAGGCTGTGAGTAGAGGTTGCTGACAGCTGTAGTGGTGAGCCAGTCTATATTAAAAATAAATAAATGAAAAAAAAATAATAATTTAATTTAACCAAACCAACAAGGAAGTTCCAGAACATGTTGATCTAATTTTCATGCATTTTATGCAAAACACTCTTTATATTCTTTATCACTATCTCCTTTTTGTCTTTGCCTTTCTTTTTTTTTTTTTTTTACAAAAAGGAGAAATGAACAGTCTTATTTTAATAGTACATGCAAGACCATGTTCTCAGATTAACTTGCTTAGGAATCATTTTATTATGTGATATATGACTGTCATTGCGTTTGTCATAGACATCATAAAATTTGTCATAGACATTGTAAAATACATCAAAACAAATCAATGAATGGCTGGGTAAATAGAATAATAAATGGACAAGAGAATGGATTTATAAAAACTAGTAGTGAGGATCAATGATTTCAAGAACATCTCTGTCTACACGGCCAGACTTGTGGCGCGTCTTCATTTGAGATGAGTTGAGTTAACTTAACACATACCTTCTGATTACTAAATTTTTTAGGGAGAAAATCTAGACTGATGGTTCTGTTGTCAAATCCTCATTTTATTTATTTATTCAAATCCATTTATGTGTACTGTAGACTTGTAGTGGTTACATAGCTGTATTTTTAATCAGATGAAATGATGAGTCCGTTTGTTCTCTCTAAGCAGAGTGGAAAAGGGCCTTGCAGATATAATATATTATGATATATATCATATCATAATCTGAAGTGTTATTAGTTATGTTGCTACCGGCTGGACAGTGGTCATCAGCTGGACTGAATGTGGTCAGAATATCATATCATCCATCACCTAGCTAGGATGGTAGTCATCTTCAGACACTTTTCACTGTACATGGAGAAGGTATTGAATTAGCTTCTAGGGGAAATCAGAGATAATCAGACTAACGTTCAGTGTAAATGTAGCTTATGCAGCATTGATTTTATTATCTGCACCATTCTCAGTGATGATCAATGAGGATGAACTACTCGTAGCTTGTCTGCTGTAGTAGGGAATCGAAGTCATTGTGCCCGAATAAGGCCACATTCACAACACAGTTGATCCATGGACTAACAGATCCACAGATCAAATATGGCCAACCCATTTTGAAACTAGCTGCGTAATTCCTGTGGGGAATCTATTCAGTGTCTACTAGGGGGATTATGTGTTAAGTTTTTAATTGGGTCCACCATATTTGATCTAATAATCTGTTAGTTATAACTGATAACTGGAATGGAAATGTAACTCAGGATGATAAAAAAGACTAATAAGGAAAAAATCTGGAGCTCCAAGATGGTTTTGATGGATTGTAATTTTCACAGTAACAGTAATTATAATTAAGATATTATGTACCTAACAGTGGTTGATACCTTGTCCATTTTACAAGTGCCCTGCCAAATTTAACTGGTCGAAAAAAATACTTGCCAGGAAAAAGGGATTTATATGTGGTAGCACTCACATTTATTTACCCTCCCCCTGTACAAAAATATTTAAAAAATGCTTACAAAGGTATCTGCCTTTTTAGTGTTATTTGGGTGGGGGAAAATTCAGACAATTGTATTAGGAAAAGTCACTTGGCAGTGCTCATTCAGGCATTTATGTCCACCGGCATTTTTACTTGTTCAGCAGTTGCAACTGATTATTCAGCTGTCCAAGACAAATGGACAACGTTTATTATGAGGCCCTGCCTTATTAAGATTATAAAGTTTTTTTTAATATGCAGTAAATTACTTTGGTTGAATTGCATGCCTTCAAGAGAGTTTTAGACCTAAACCTAACAATTTGTTACCTCTTTCTTACAGATGAAACAGATACTGGTGTTTTTCAAGCAGATACCTCTGACAATTTAGGTAAGTAGATACTATCCTTAAAGATGCATACAAAGTCAAATTTTTGTCACAAAAACCAACCAAATGCCAGCATATAGTTTCAAGTAGTATAACTAAGAGAATTACCAAAAGGCATTGTTTAATTTTACTCGAAAATGATGTTTGAACAGATTTTTCTGCTGGCATTCTAAGCTGTATGTCAATGGGGTAGGAAAGTAGGTCACTGAAGTAGGTTAAATTTACAACCATAAATTTAAAGAAAGGAGCAGTCTAAAGGTCTTTTATGGCTGATCGAGTGATCTATTCAGTTTATCCCTTGGCATGTCGAATTTATTTGAGCCATATAAGAATCTAGTAGAAGTGGTTTACATGTGTTACTGGGAATCCACACTCCACCGATGCTCGGTTCGTATGTACCTTTAATGTTTGTGTTTGTGTGTATGTATTTATGTGTGTATACATGTACAGCAGTGTGTATGTGTTTGTGTGACTGTGTTTGTAAGAGCGTGCATGTATGCAAATATGTGTGTGTTTGCTTGTTACGAATAATATGCCTAGGTAAGAAGAAAATACATTTTACCAATACAGCCTTTTAATTTTTTTTCACACATCAGTAATGTTTCCAACACTTTAAGTGTCATACTGTATTAAGTGTTTAAGTGTCCAAATAAAATATTTAACAGACCTATCAAAAAGTAAGTTGAAAAATGGGATACTAGTATTTTGATTTGGTCCCTTCATAGGATTGAAATAAAGGAACACAGTTTTGATATGATCCCTTTATAGGATTACATTGAAATGTTACCTGACTGGCATATTGCCCTTGGTGGATTACATTTACATCTTATTCAAGTCCATGTCTGCTGGAGCAGTATGGTAACAGTAACAGATCAGATTTAATGAGAACATGGCACTTACTCATGGAAACTGTAGTTAAGACTGGGTTCCAGTACTTAGATCGTTCTAACAGGATCAATCCATGTGGGAGGGGTTTATCTCTAAATTGCTTTCAGCTAAATCGGTTTTGATTTCTGGCATGCCTACTAAAGCTGCTAAATGATAATTAATTACCCACTAACAGCTTCAGTAGGCGTGGCAGACATCTAAGCCTCTAAAATTGATTGCAACTTAGCGAGAATCCCTTTGGAGATCGATTGATCCACAGTTAGTATGATAGGGTCTGGGAATGGTCCCAAGGTTCAAAAACGTTTAAAGATTGGCTTCCCTGGATTTATATCTTTCTTTTTTATCTCAGAGACAGAGTGGCATTACTTTTTCATTCATGTGCCTTAAATAAAGATGGAGTCAACTTTGAAGAACAGATTATTCTTGGCTTTTGACAAATGTGTCTTTCCAAGAAGCAAGATGTGGAATGACTTCTGATTGGGAGAGACTCTAGGGTTGTTGTTGGCTTCTGAAAAATATGCCTTTTGTAGTTTATTCTAAAGTAGATTTTAGAAATTCCTTAGAAGCAAATTGCAGATCAGATTTGTTTCAAGGATTTGTGTAAGGCTAAGGACATTGTCTAAAATGACAGCTTTTTGAACTTGACTGGGATCTTATTTTTCATAAATAACACCTCTTTTGTAAGATTATCTGCAAGGGCATCACCCTGGGTGAGGCAGACTTTCATTGAAGTTATCCTGAAAAAAAGAAGTATGGTGGTGGTGTCATTTGTAAGATACCCGTCTGTAATACTAGCCTTTGGTCATAAACAATTGACCTGTAGATATGAAATCAGAATATAAGAGAATAAGTTTTCTGTTGCGGGTCATCATTAAATTTGTACTACAGGTGCATTCTCTGTGACCAGTTTTAAGGCTGGTAGACCAGTGATTGGGAAAGCATATGTTCTGCTTCTCATGGGCATTAGATTCCATGCCAAGGATTGTGGGTTAGAGAAAACATTTAGAGAAGCAGAGATTATCTTGAAGTAAATTTATTGATTTGTGGAGGTTATCACAGAATCAAGGATACAACATTTAGTCAGAACTGAAAGATAAAATAAATGATACCACATTCATGTATACACACAGTCTTATCAATGTGTGTATCCAGTGAAGCCTGAAACTCACAGAGAAAAAACATAAGACTAGCCTGATGATAGAGGTTGGTTTCTAGTACACCCTGAAACTCAGGGTGAAAACCACTAGCACAGGGCTGATAACAGAGGTGGGTTACCAGTGATCTCTGATATTCAGGGTGGTTGGAACAGGAGACAAAGAAAATGGTCATGACTTAAGACAGCAGAACGGGAAATTTTGAAGCTAATTATGAAAATCCAAAGAATCTATCTGAGCATAAATGAGAGAGAGAGAGAGAGAGAGAGACAAGGGGGGGGGGGGAGAATTGATACAGCATTGATCTTCGTCATTTTTAGGAGATGCTTTAATGCTTTTGTAAAATTGCTAATGACATAGTCCTGTTTTAAAGCTGACTATATTTTAGGAATCATGATACAAACAGTAGGCCCAGGGTTAAAAAATATGGATAAATGGTCATATAAGGCTGACCTTCATTAATGCTTGCAGCAAGCAAATCTTGAGGTCTTGTTAGCTTCAATTATTCAGCAAAAAAAGGGAAAAAAAACTAAATAGACATTTGCTGCTGAAATTTTGATTGCCACGATTGAAATCTTTATAGAACCTCAAACAATGTAAAGTCAAGTTATTAAGACTCTCAGGATAGCATCTTGGGAAATATACTTGGACCAACATATTACCATTTCAATCTGTTTTTATTTCATTTTTCACAACCAAAATCAATACACTTAAACAGTATTACTTGTAGTAGCCAAGTCAGCTGAGGAGCACTGTGTTTTTAGGATATGGCAGGGAGGTATATACCTTTTTTCATGTAGAGTTAAAGGCTGGGTTTATAAAATTATATACTTATTATACAAAATCAGTTAGCTTTACAGTTCATCCCTGGTCTTTGTGGATAGATCTTACATGTTGAATTTCTGAGGAGCAAACATCCCAGCAGCATCGTATGTGACCCACACGAATTCTCATCTGCAATTATCACCACTAGTTCTTTACCCCCTGCTTCAAGTTGAACTTATTCATGAGCAGGTCATGGAATTAAAACAATGGAAGTTACAAAGGACACATCGTATACTCCAAACACAATTTCCTATTGAACCGAAGAAAAAAAGGAATAATATGTACAGACACATATGTGTCTGTACATAAAAGTCATAATCCTGATAATTTCCTTTAGCCTGGATCCTGTGCTGTTGGATGTTCATTTATTGTGAAATGAGGAGGATGGACTCAGAAATGCAGCCTATGTATCCATGTTTGATTGATGATTATATATATATATATAACAGTTTACACGTGCTGAAGGAATCTGTATCAAGGAAAATGCAAGGGACATTTTAAAATATGTCTCCATGACCTAATCAGAGTACTGGTTTAGATCGAATCAGTCTATAATCAAGCAGAAGTGGTAAATCAGTAACTCTTGTAAGGAGGCCAGTTTGAGAAAATGAAGGAGACTTTAAGGAATCTAACGGCTGACTTTCACAATGAGCAGTATTTTGAATTACTGGGGCGCTCACAGATGATGAAAGGTGAAATGCTTCGTGTAGGGAATCCAGTGGTTTGAAAATGGAGCAGTTTGTGTGTAATATTTCTTAAACTGTAAGCAGGCTGACTTCACTGACTGGACCAGGGTTTTGCTGGATGGGGATAGGGTGGAGTGCATGTGCAAGAATAATAATTCACTTCACTGTAAAGTGGTAGATGAAATTTTTATGTAAAGTTTCGGGCACATGGAATCAGAAAACTGCTTGGTTTTGACTTTTTATTTATTATTATTATTATTTTTTTTTTTTTGGGGGGGGGGAGAGGACTTGAAAAGCTAAATGATCTGCCATTGGAATTAACTTGTATATCACAGACAATTTTACCAGTAGCATAATAAAAATATACTGTACATGTATATATTTATTATACTATTATAATAAAATATGCCACACACACACACACACACATAATGTGTGTGTGTGCGTGCACCGTGCATTTCTTTTTGTAACATCTTTGGTGATATATACCTATAACCTGTATAAAAAATTATTAAGTGACATATTCTATATTAAGTCTATTTTATATATTCCAGGCTTGGTAGGTATAACAGTAGGGATAGGAGTAAAGGCACACTGGCAGTTGTTCTGGCTCTAAAATAATCCCTGCAATAAATCTACTAATATAATCCATCTTCCAGGTCTGGTAAGGATAGGGATAGGAGTGGGTGTGGCCCTGGCAGTCCTACTGGCCCTAGAATAATAATCTCCATAATAATCTCTAATATAACCTATCTTCCAGGTCTGGTAGGGATAGGGATAGGAGTGGGTGTGGCCCTGGCAGTCCTGCTGGCCCTGGGGATATGTCTAGGCTGCTGCATATGGAGAAGGTAAGATCTTGTCTATTTATTTATTTATTTATTTATTTATTTATTTATTCAAATAATTGCAGGTCAAATTATTTGTAAATTAATTATTATTATTAGTTTTAAGCCGAGCAAAAGTCTTTTCTGACTCACAATTTGTTCTAGGTTCTGTACGTGTCATTGGGTCTATTAAAAAGGGTAAAGAGGCCTAATTTTCAAATAAAAAAAGTAATAATAATAATAATATTAATTAATCAAATTGCTAGCTTAAGCTCTGTAAAATTGGTCCACTAGCAATAATGTTATTGATACAAAGTGAAGCTCGATTTGGGTTCGTTGTGATATTATTGATAGTTGTTTATTGATAGAGGAAGCTGAAAGCTTTTTTAAAAGATTTGAATTTTTAAGAGTTTTGAAAAATATTTTCTGTTTTTCAAAATATGTAAAATATTTTGAAAAATATTTATACATTTTTAATTGCCATTTTCCAGAAGAATTTCGCGCGAGGATTCAGACACTGGTCGACAGTACGATACAGTGACGTACTCGGAAGTGATGAATGCACAGAGAGAGGGGGTCATTTCTGATAACTCCAGAAATCTAGAGACAGAAAAAACTACGTTGACTGAGACAGAAGCTCCTCCTAAATATGAGGATTTGTTCGGGGCTAGCAGTGGTGCTGCTGCAAATGCGCCATCTGGTGAACAGTTAGAGATGTCTGAATTTTCCAGGTCTGAACCGACACAATCAGAATCATCACAACCAGAGCTTTCTCAACAAACGCAATCTGACGCGTCACATCCATCTGGCACAGACCATTCGCTTCCTGTAGAATCTCAGCCAATGGAATCAGCTGGTGCTTTGGACCGTACGGAAACTGAGCCTGAGGTGGCGTCACAGATCGTTTCTCAACAGCAGACGTCTGCTGGAGATGAACCCTTTCCAGGTCAACCAACTGCAGAAAATGGGGATGTTGTCCCAGAAGAAGAGGCTGCAGCAACAGACCCTCTTCTGTCCAATCAAGCCATTTCCGGTGATACGGAAGGTGATTTGAAACACCAACAAATCGTAAAACCTACCAGTGCTTCCCAATAGTGCCTGCAGATATTGATTTTCTTAAAAAAGAGCAATTATTATTGCATTTTATGGGTTCTGATCAATGCGATCGCCTTTTGTATGGCTTAAATAATTAGCGACAAGGCTGCTGCATGATAATTCAGTTATAAACCACCGGTGTATGTGTTGGTATCAAATGTGAATAGATACTAAAAGCATTAAATGGGACGGAGATATAAAACAAGGCACATAAAGATAAAATGTGGGATTGCGTATTTATAATGCACAGTGATAATACGCCAAGGTATTTAAAGTGGTGGGGTTCTCTTTTACTGAAATCAGTGGTGTGACATACTAACCCCCGATTTTTAGACAATTTCTGACCTTTATTGAAAAGTGTTGTCCTCTTACATGTATTTATAGAGTGTTAAATCATGACATATTCTCCAATTACAAGCAATAAAAATGTTTCTTTATTCATAGCTGTATAGTGCTAAGAAACTGATGTATGTTAAAAATGAATGTATTTGTGATGTTTGTCCAGTATTGTAACAAAATAGGTCAGTATAATGTTAAAAAATACAATGCAGGCAAAATTTATGTTGAATTTCAGCAACATTACATTGTGGATTTATGTGTCAGGGAATCTGCATTAGTTTTATTCATTAACGATATGAGAGCATTATTATTATTATTAGTATCATTAACCACGTGTTTATGTTTTATTTCGTGCCAAGAGGCCGACATGGTGTTGCAATTATCATTAATAAGGTGCATACAGAACGAGTGCCCACCAAGAGACACGACCGAAAACGAGGATAGTGTGCGTGTACTGGTAAACATTGTAGGATCTGCTTCTTAATTTGGTTACTGGGAATGAATGAGAGAAGACAGATCATTTAGCTGAGTCCTGCATTTCAGTGTGTACAGTAAGAACGTGGTCACATTTTTATTTTATAATTTTTTATTTATATAATTACGTGTCTGTCTCAAAGGATCTGCCTCTAAACCTGTTTAATTTAATTTTTTTTTTTTTTTTTTTTTTTTTTTGCAAGATGTAATCATAGTAGTTTGTGCTAAATCTGAAACATAAGCAAGGGCTTTCTTATTAAAATAGGAACACTATTCCATTTCTCTGCGACTGATTTTTATCTTGTATTAAAGTCAGCGGAAATGATTTCTGAGCCATTTTCTCCAACAAAGTTTTTTTTTTTTTTTTTTTTGTTTGTTTGTTTGTTTGCTAAGGTTCCTGGTTAATGTTCTTCATAGGCACTGGATCATAGGTAAAATTAACCGTCTTGACATCAAAGTAACATCCAATTTTGTTAAAATTTTTATTCTAACAAGTTTCCTCCAGGTGAAATGTCATCAGTGCTGATTCATCATTGTACTGGTAGTCACTTTTAAACGTATTTTATTAACCGGTTACCTCGTAGGAATATGTTAGCCATACCGTTACACTTTTATCGATTTTTTTAATGGTAAGGAAGTTAGAATTTAACAGTGCCGCCAAGTAATGGTTTTGTTTGTATACGGTCACAATAATACATTTTCTTTTGAATTCAAGTTTTTTATACTAATGGAATAAATATTACTAAATATTTCCCCGCTGGTCGTGTTTAGCGTTGTTTATCAATATGTGGAAATCATCTACCCCTGATCGTTACCATAGAAACGGGGCAGTGACCGGCTGTTACACGTCATTGTACTTATTTAGGGAACAATTTGGTTGCAAGGGGGAGGAGTTAGAAGTCGATTGTCATTTGCTCTGACTGGGTGCTATTTTCTGTCAACAGTTCTCTGCAGACTGTGTTGTATTTGTTTAATATTCTGTACAGGTTAATGACACTGGTACAATTCGCAAAATACGTCCACCAAGATTTTCGCCTTTACTCCGAGCCGTGTAGTTTTAAGTTATGATTAAAAATGCATGTGCAATAAGAAATAAATAGTTCACGTGGCAAATCAATACTAGCTAGAATTTGCATCTATTTGCGCTCGTTTTCTCGACAACTTTTTTGACAACTTAATTCTTTAAGCATTTCTAGCTCAGCAAGAATTCTTGCAACCAGATTTATAATAAAACAGTAAGTCCACCTTATCTACAATATATACATCCATGATGATTGCACAACTTGTAGCCGAACATACGGTATCAAGATAACTGGGTTAAGGCATCACTTTAATTTTAATAAGAACACTGCATGTAGTAGCTTTAACATAACGCCGTTACAACGATAACTGACCAAGAATTAAGTGCACAGGTAGTAAACGTTTAACACTGAAAGTAGAAGGGACCTCAGGTCTGTTGCAAATATTTTATTGCTCTCATGTAAAATCTACAATGCAATGAAGCTGTTCTGGCAAAAGCACTGTATCCAAATTATTACAGTAACATAGTCCGTAGCATTCTTCTTTGTGAAGCATTCTTGTAGCATAACTACAAGTTATGTTGACTCTCAATCATAAAAGATACGATGTGGGAGCTGCCTTAGGTAGTATCTTAGGCGCAAAGCGAGTAAGAGCATAAAGAGTCATTTTTGATGCCCTCTGTGGGGCACTTAATGATTTAAATTTCAGTCATGCAATTCGAGTCAGGCTTTGTTCGCAGTAACGAGCCATTGAGTGCGTCATTAAACCAGCGAAAGATCTCTGTCTGTCTTCGAATTAGATAACAAGGGATTTCACACCGTCAACTTAGTGAACACCACTGCCGTCTGAAATGAAAAGTAAGATTTCATTAGAATCCTGTTAATAGTGTTCATAGCAGAACAGACTTAAGTGACGTTCAGTATTTGCTCTTTGGTGCCAAAACCTATGAAACCAACCAAATTATCAAGGCAGACGAATAAAGACCAGAAAAAGCAGTACCAGTAAGCCCTTGACATCAACCGCCATTCCCTGCCCAAACTGCAGCAAATCCTTTCTAGCAAAGATTGGCCTTAGCAGCCATCTGCGCACACACAGAACACAAATCACTACCTCATAGGATGACTAGATGGTACTCGTTCATTTCTACGGACGAACCATACATTTATAGTGTGACGAAAAACTGAAATTACGACATCAGTGTCGTGTCATGTGCAACAACTCCTTTTCTCTTTATTGAAAACAATGTCAGTCATTAAAATATTGGTGAAAGTAAAACACATACCTGGCACGCAGACATTAACGTTATTGTAGTCAGTCAAGTATCTATTGTACACCTGGCCGTAAGGACAAGGTCTGGAGAAGGCGTTACCAGCTTCGTCACACTGAATGTAGCAGCGTGGGTCGCTGTGCTCGTAGTAGAAACGGTTGGGAGCGTAGACCTTAGTGTGCTTGCCGTAGTGGTCCACGCGGTACACGCTGTTCAGGGGTGGGCACTGGACTGTGTACATGAAAGAAAAGAGAAGCAATTATAAATTACCTAATTTCTCCTGTTATCAATGTGTAATCACATATACCGGTATTTGTTATTACTACGCCGGTCAGAGTTTACGTAGGAACTAGAAAAGCACATGCAGAACTCCGACAAGGCAAATAATTGACCACTAATTGACAATGATTTATGAATGGATCATCGCGTGAGTTATATAGTTGATTATGCTTGACGATCAATGTATCATTTTCTTATCACACCTCTTTGAAAATGGACTTCCTTTAATGAAACTGTTGAAAACCATTCTCTCCCACGATGGGAAACAGAGACACACAGAGAGAGAGAGAGAGAGAGAGAGAGAGAGAGAGAGAGAGAGAGATTGAAAGAAAGAAAGATGGTTGATCATCATGCTGTATACTCACAGTATTCATGGCTGCACTGGTAAGCAGGTGGATGGTACGTGGGCGGTGGGTAGGTAGACGGTGGGTAGGTTGGGTAGGTAGACGGCGGGTAGGTAGATGGTGGGTAGGTAGACGGTGGGTAGGTTGGGTAGGTAGACGGTGGGTAGGTTGGGTAGGTTGGCGGTGGGTAGGTTGGCTGCTGGTATCCCTGCGGTTCGTAGCTTTGCTGTTGTCCGTGTCCCTGGGGTTCGTAGGGAGCTGATCGAGCAACAGCCACACCGATGGCGACAACAAGAACTTGCAAGATCTTCATTTTTTTAGACTCCTGTGCTGCACAGTATGATTGAAGTTCCCTTACGTGGATGAACCGGACTGTGACTGGTAAAGTGCGCTGGAGAATGTGATTTACTCCTTATATACCTGTCCATCTAAACGCTGATGTGAATGAAGGGATCGGATTTACAGCCGGAGGCTCCTTTAAATTCATTTTGTAATCTGTGTTGTATTTGGAACCTTTGCCATCTTATTGAAATTCGTGTCAACAACGGAAGTTTTATCTTCCTCCAGAACGATATTTATACATATAGGTTTCCCCGTTTTCATAGTCAGGTTGGCAGAGAGGGATGGGTGGGGAGTTATTCTTAGCTGTAAAATTGCATATACAGATTGAATTTTCAGCGTTCCTAATATTTTCTGCTTTTTACTAATTGCCGGCTAGTCGGATCATAGGACTTGCATTTATCACGAATTACTGTCCATAGCAGTCACAGTGAGCACAATTTAAAAACATTACCTGCAGAACAAAAAGCACGTTTACACTTTCACCTTCACAGATGGGATGGGTGTACAATATGATTAACACATTGGCCAACGTCTCGGCACAAGAAACGTTCTGTTGCCAAGTCAGCTCTTCCAAATAAATTCATGCATAGGATGGGATTTTTAATGACAGTATTCTATCAAAAGCTCATTAAATCGCCACTCCGACCAATGTCACGCCATACCGTCAACATCTGAATACTGCAACAGGCTACAAGACATCAAGGACGACGTTTGCCAGCTGTTATAAAGCAATTAAATCATTAAGTCATATGAATGATAATTAAGGCTGTAGGCTGTGAGTTCATCAGGATATGGAAGCGTAGATGAATGGCCACGTTTCTCTTGATGCAGAATGTTGAGGATCCTCTCAGTTGGACTAGTTATTTAAACTTTATTTGCATCGAGTGCCTGGAAGAGTCTTGGAAATCTGCTGGATTTCAGAGCCAAAATGGTGAGCAACGGTTTTGTTAAGGTTATTTATGCGTTTAAGTAATCACCAGGTATGGGTAGTACGTTTTATGACGATTGCCCTGTGTAAATTTTGACTGGTGATAAAAGCTGTGAACTGATATGGTATCGTATTCAATTTGTCGCGTTTTTCTTGATGCAGATTTGATGATTTTGTCATTCGAGCTCGTCGCAACGTGCGTGTGGAAGTGTTTCAAATAGCTGGATGGTACTAAGGTCGAAATGGTAAGTATTAGTGCTGTTTCAAAAGTGGTATTAAATTTATTTGTTTTACGCGTAAAATTTTTCACGCGTAATATTTTTTATTATGACTTTCTGACAAAATTAAATTTATTTTCAATTAAATAAAGACTTATATAACACAAAAATGTATGTAATTATATATAATACGACGGAATCTGATCTCATGGTTTCTGTTATGAAATTTTTTCCCTTTTCCTTCAAATTATTCTTTCTGTCTTGAATTATCCTTTAATTGTCATCGTCAGTGGTGTTTGACTCAAAGAACAAGTGGCGCAAAATATCCTGAGATCAAAAAAGGTTTTGTAATATAGTTACAACCGTGTCTTCATGATAAATGTGTCATATAGGCCTACAACCTGTCACTTAGTTACACTGTCAGTGTTAAAAATATTTTAAATCGTAAAATTAGTTCCATATATCGGATAAGGTTTTCAAAGGCCCATTTCATTACTCTCCCAAGTATATAGATCTGTTAATTAATAGACGAAATATTGTTAAAGTGGCGACAACGATTTTAAATTTCAAACGATTTTTCACCGGGTTCCCTATTCTTACTCGCTACCATCTGTACCTATTTTCTTTCTATTCAATATGAGGGACTTTTTATTGCTCTCGATCAACTAAAATCTACTTTACAATGAAGTTGTCATGGGAAAAGCATGATATCTATACATTCTGAACAACTGTATCACTTCCATTTGCAAGATTTGGCTTTAGTGGGTCTACAGGCTTTATTACGACAACTCATTTGCCTATTGTTCTCGTCTGATGAATGAATTGTTGCAGAAACGCCGTTAACCCTTCTGAGCACCTGTGACATGAATAAGAGTGTGCAGTGCAGATGAGAACCAACCCCCTAATAATCTGGTCCAAGCTTTAAGAAATTTTGGGACAATATCACACGAAACATCTGTTACCGGGTACCTTTGTTGAAGTTATGCCGTGCCACCTACAGAGGTAATTGCTGTGCGCGGTAGATACTATATTAAATGTCCAAAGTGCCACAACTGAGAGCAGTGAGAGCCTCTGAGCATTGTCAACTTTTAAGGTAATGCCCTTATTATATTTCTGTCTAATACATTTTTCTTTTTTTATATGCATACATGTAGGTTACACTATTGCATACATATTAAGCTGTAAAAATGATAGGCACCCATGTTATTTTTGTTGCTATGGTGATTTGAACTTTGTATTCAATTAATATAGAATCCTATGGGAAATTTAATTGTTTTTTTTTTTTCATATATTTTCAATCTTAACAGATGAAATGCGTCCATATATCCTACACATAGTGTTCGGTAGATA